ACTTTGTCTGTGCAGCAAAATCGCCTTTGGAGTGCGAGACGAAGCGGTGCAAAAGCTTAGCTTCTGATGCCAGGCGAGGATAACATGGAGCACCTGCTTCTGAGTTCTGCTCTGCTCGGTTCGCTTCTGAGTTCTGCTCTTGTCACATCGTCCCCGAAATCGGCCATGCCCTGCTATCACCTAAAAACTCATTGAAACACGATACTGCTGGATGGTAGACATTGCTGTGAAACCTGCCCTCGTGATGCTACCCTGCTGTTGGTTGACGCACGCTGCTACGAAACCTGTTTCGTGATGCTACTCTGCTGTTGATTGACGCACGTTGCTGTGAAAACTTCTTCGTGATGCTACTCTGCTATTGGTTAACAATGAGTGCTCTGAAGCCCTGGTCCATACTGGCAGCCGCAACATGTCCGCATCTGCAAAACAGTTGACATCACCCCCCCCCCCCAACTGCCCCATCCTGTCTCTGTGCACGACTACACGTGCGGTTTTCGGCATAAACAATCTGTCATTGCTTCCATAACTAGGTGTCACTAACAACGGTGATTGTGACAACATGTCATTACCTTTGATGCTAAGCGTCACTATTAACGGTGATTGTGGCAGTGTGTCATCAACTTTGTTGTATGCTTGTTGTCATATGTATGGTTCTCGGATTGTTGACATGGTTTGAGTTAGCCCTTAGGATTTCTTTTTTTCATTGGTTGGTAGTGTGCAAATTGGGTGAACAAGGTTGTGTTTTTCATTTTTGAATATTAAGACCGCGCAGTGCGGCGGTGAACTTTGGTGAAAATACGCAGTTAGAAGACACTGAAAGATGTGACAGCATATAGTTGCATGAAAACTCGCAGAGACGCAGTAGGTGCAGAAAACAGAGGGGCGCAGGTATGGGGCTGCGAGGCGTCCTTGGTGGAGCTCAACGAGCAGAACCAATGATTCGTGGAAAGCGGCTACATACCGCTTCATTTGCCTCAACGCGGCCTCGGTGGTGCCACCAAGCACAGCCTATGTGGACGTCAGCAATGACCTCATGAACATGGCGCTTTGTTCTTCGGGGTTGGCACAGGAGCTGCGGAGCCAGCTTCAGGGCGGCAAGGGTGTGCTTTTTTGGGTCTCCTTGGGGTTGCGTGCTGCATGGGGGAGAGCCCACAGACGGCAAATGACATTAATGAATGCGGGGTGAACGAAGCAGGCTTGCAGCAAGCCCAGACATTTATTTCAATCAAGCCTCCCTTGCGAAAACTGCCAAGACATTGCTTCCCCTTAGCATTCCCCAAGACCTATTTACATGCTGCCTTGACAACTTTCTTCTTGAGGACTGAAGGACCAGTGGTTTATTGTCATTTTCTCGGTATGCCCACTTCATGTTCCATGTATGTCCCTTCATTCCCTCTTCACACCCCTTGTTCTTATTCCCTTCCCCTTCATTGCCTTTCATTTCCCCTTGCTTTCCCTGTCAGCTGTCCTTGCATTTCCCTTCATTACGTCCCCTTCATTTCCGCACTTCCTTGCATTCCCCTTCATTCCCCAGTATTTTCCCGCAGAAAGAACTTTGGTTTTTCTTTTTCCAGATGTTCGGCAAAAGGACGCAGAACAACCCGAACCAGCAAAAAGCCGGCAGGGGGAGACCGAAGACTGGGTTGTGGCGGGGGGGTTATCCGATACGCCGAGCCTTGTCAGCGAATTTAGAAATTTGGCAAAGAGGGTTTTTTAGCTGTGGCGAGCCCTCCAGTGGTCCAAGGTGGCTTCCTCAAGCGTGAGCATCCCACAAAAAATCTGATTTTTTTGTTCAGTAGAAACTTCCCACTGCGACTTTGGGAATCTTTTCAAAACCAAAGAGGAGCCAAGGTATCAGATTCGGCTTGGAATTTTGGACCAGCGCAAAGTCCCCAGCGAAGCTCTTCATGGCGTCAATAATATGGCCAGTAAGGGGTTCCTCGAAAAATGATGGGCTTCCTGACGTTCAGCCCGGTCAGCAATGCCCCATGAACTCCCCTGTTCCCTGATTGACAACAAGCTTCCGGAATCTTTCAGCATGTTTGGTTTGTGTATCGCTTTGGACCGCCCCCAAAACGGGGGAAGGTGCTCGAACCCCATTCAGAAGCACCTACCGAATGTTCAAACAAAAACATATCTCCAGGATTCCTTCATGGAGGGTGGCAAGGCACCACAAAGGCCCCTTCGTTCTGTGGGTTAAACCCCGAGGTGCGTGGGGGTGTTGCGCTTTCCAGGATTGCAGCTTGCCTCAAATGGGTCTTCCTTTTTGAGGCCCTGTGTTTGTGGGTTTGAAAGGGCCACGGCCATTTTGGCGGATCCCCAAAAACATGATACTGCAGACTGATGGCAGGTTTGAGTGGCCTGACGGCTCGGTGTACGACGGGGAGTTCCGCAACAACAACGCCGGAGGGCCATGACTCTCACCCAAACATGGAACCCTTTAAAAGGATTTTTGAGCTCCACGTTCGCCTGGCGAGATGACTCGTAATCTCGGACGGCGTTTTGCAGTGCCAGGACCTCTTTTTGGCTGGTTTTGAATGGAAACCAAGCGGCCCAAACCTATGCAGATTTCTGATTCATTGCCATGGGTTTTGGATAGATTCCTCCAACGTCTGGTTCTGATTGAATGTGACTCAGATAAGTTATGTTCGAAACCTCCACATGGCACGGCTTGTTGAGGATGGCCACACAAAACTTGTGTGTTTAGCGGGATTTAGCCATGCCTCGTGTGCCTTAGGGCATTTTCCACAAAGGACCTCACAGATTTGGGGAGAATGGCAAGGCCTTTCACCTGTACCACGATAGAGCCATGAGCCTCGGGAAGAGCGGCGCTCAGATCCTTCGGAAAGGCCTTCCTGTTTGGGTGTGCCTCTGTTTGAAAACCTTACTTGGCATCAGGACAGAAGAAACCAAGTATTTGGAAATGGATCCCTGCCACCTGAGCCGGAATTCAATTCGTGAGTTTCCCTTCGGTTGATCTTTGTTTCGAAAATGGCAATCTTGTTTTTTGCTTCTTGGGTCTTGGTTAGAACTCTTGAAGGTGCTTTACTCATGACTCTGCAACCCACGGTTGACAGACCCAACCGGTTGGTTCTCCTTGGTCTATGAGTCATGGCCCAGATTGCAAGTTCTTGTCTCTTGTTTTCCTGTGTTCAACAAAGCAGGACATGGCACGTTGTTGGCCCTGATCCCAGCGATCTGAGGTTGAAGGTGAGGGAACCTTCACGTGGAAGGCCAGAGGGCGGAATTCGCTGGGCTGGCCCCCAAAAGCCAATGCAAACCCAGAAATTGCAAAGCCACTGAACAACTCTTCATGCCCTCGTCTTTTCATCGCTCTTTTGCCAAAAGCCGTTCTTTCCCGCTTTTGGAAAGAAGGGTTCTTGGGAACACTGGTTCGAAGTTACACCCCACATTTTGTTGGCTTGTTCCATGTTCCTTTTGTGGTAGAGAGGGTTTGACCATCGCCTGACCATTTTAGTTGGAAAGACCTTTTGGTTGGAACCCGAAAAGGAAAGCAGATGCCATAGTGGGGGTCCAATAAGTTTAAGATCATAAACAAACAGCCAGTGTGCCAGCAGCATAAACCACAGGACCAAAGCCCTGTTCAATGTTCGAGGGGCGCAACCCAATTTGGGGAATGCGATTCACTTTTGGCATCCCATCAAAATGGGCAAGGTGAATTGATCCGTCTGCGCTGGCCCATTGTTTTCATTGTTTTCAGGAACCCTCCTGAGCAAATTGACAAATCTCACACCACTTTTGGCTGGGAGTCACTTTCTCCACCTCGAGCCAGATTGAATTATAGTGGTATGTGAAGCTTGTTTCGAGATCCTTCTTTTCACAACCTTTCCAAGAACCGGCGCCCCCCCCCCCCCCCGCGTGCCATGGACACCTAGCGTCAATTTTGCTGGCCCAAAGCCTGTACAGGCGAATATCCGATGCATTTTTTGTTGCAAGTTGACTCGAAGTGTCCATCACGCTAAGTCGGAAGCCCTTCCGAGGACGGACGACAGTACAAGGGCCAATGGGTCGACAACCGCGGCTCGGCGAAAAAACGAACGCGATGGGTCAGCGTTGGTTCGGGTGTGTCCTTTTTGAGAGGGACCCGGTTTGGATGATTGTAAAGGGAAACCACAGGGACATTTTGGGGTTTCCCCTATTTACACAACCATTTGGCTTCCAGACCATGATTGAACTTCCGGACCCAGGTTTTGGGAGTTAGCAAGCAAGAAGCTCGGAGGTTTGCGGGCCATAAGACGTGGGGTTCTGTTTTGCGTGTCTTTGAAGCCAAAACAGTTGACCCTACTGGTGCCCGTGTTGCCCTGTGCCTGCAGAAATCGATGCCATGCGACCTGCGACATTCGCGGGCAATTCAAAACGGTGAGCTATTGAGCTCTGGCTGGGGCTAGCTGGTGAGTTGCGCTTTCGTGAGATCTTTGGGCAGTTGCATCCCGCTATTTTCCAGTTGCCTCACCAGAAATGACACACTTGAGGGCTGGCTTGGCAGTGGCACAAGGTTCTCACAAGTCGCTTTGACATGTCAACCGATCACGAGAAGGTTGGCCCAAAAAAGAAGATCGTCCATTTGGGAACACGGCCGAGCTCATCACAGGAAGTCACCTTACAGTAATTCCGAAGCGATAATTTAAAGGTAGGGGGATCAACGAACTTGTGTTTCCAAGTGTTCCATGTGTTTCCAATGCATGCTTCCACTCAACTTGAATCAGACAAAAAGTATCCTGCGACCATTGTCATCACCTGAGAAAAGTCCAGGAGAACGTCAACCCTGTTGTGTGTTTAAGCTGGGTTGTGGGGCGGGGAAACCACAATGAAACACCCGCTTTCGGCGAGCCCCTATGAGAGTGTAAGACCCGTATGCTCAAGTCAAGGCATAAGGAATAGCACTACCACTGTTTTGGGGAGTTTCTCCTCCGACTTGTTTCTTCGTCAGCCAATGGCTGTTGACTGGGCTCAGCTGCCCATGTCTCGCCACGGTTGTGTCAGTTGTGTCGCGTAGCTGTCATTTCCCCCGCGAATTGCTTCCTAACTGAAAACCGGTCTGGAAAATAGGACCTGTTTGAATCAAGCCAAAGAGATCAGGTTGCCAAAATGTTGCGGTCGCTCGAAAGGAATGCACGGGGAGGGCCGGTACGAGTGGCCCGATGGTCGAGCCTATGAAGGCGGGGGGGGGGGGGACTTCCTTGCTTGTTGCGGGCTGAGTCCAGTTGATTTCATTTAATGGTTCAAACTATGAAACTTAGACTTTGTCAAATACGCATCAAAACCGTTCATAGTGTTCAACAGAAACTCATTCAAGCCCGCCAGGAAAGTGCAGCTACTGGAGAGATTGAGGGGCCTTCAGTTTACTAGAGGAGGATCTAGCTTGCTTTTGTGTTGGGCTCACTGCCGACTTATGAACACGAGCGACCCGACCTGCTTCTCGTCCCTGGGTGAAGAATGGAGTTGTGGAACCATATAATTACCCTCAGTGCGCGACTCTATTTGCTTTGCATAATCTGCACGGACGATGAGGTATTGCGTTGTGTTCTGCCAAGGCGCCAGTAAATCGAAACGTGTGTTGTATGTGTTCTATGCGATTATCGGACGCAGTGGTCAGCCAACCGCTATGAATAAAGTTTGGTTTGCCCTTACCCGCTTGGTGTGACAGACTGTGACCAACCTCGAGAAAAATTCAGGCGTTCGAGGAAACAAGCTCTCAGCGGCGTGCTGACAGATGTTTACATCCGGCTTCCCGGTGTCGCTTCGAAATTCGTCAAACACGGGTGAGAAAAAAGCTACAGAGTTCACGAAATCCGACTCTTGGCCAACCTGGTAGGCCAGTACATCAACGACCTCAAGGAGCGGGTGCAACTGGTGAAGCATTTGAGACCCTTTTGACAGGGAAAGGGGCCAGGGCACTGGAAGGGAGAGCATTTACTTTCAAGTGGACCTTTGAAACGGTCAGTGTGTTTCTTCGACTTTGAGTTTTCTGTAGTTGCCATGTTGATCGCAGTCACTAGGAACAGCCATGCCGCCCACGGAGAACCCATTGGTTCCTTTCTTTGAGCCGGGTCCGCTGAAAAGAAGGCACACATGCTCCACAGCATGTTCTCTTGTGGCTTTTGGGTTCCATGAGCATCGCAAGAAGCTTCAAGGGATGGTCTTGGAATGCCTTGCGTTCTCCCAAGTCGTCCGGGCTGCTTCAGATTGGAGTTGTCGTGCTTCTCATTCTGGGTGCTATCTCCTTCCTGTTCCCAAGCAAGCAAGCCTATCCCAAGCCGACCCAAAACAATACCCAACCCCACTGCAACTATACGTTGCTACTGGGAGCGTGCCCTTTGTGGTGTTTTGTGTCACTCTTCTTCGTTTGCTCCACAAAGGGGATCCGCAACACTCTCCTGTGTTTGGGAAGAGAAATCAAGGGGTGCTCTTGGTGCGCAATGGTCGTGTTGTTGCAACAAATTACTTTCCTGCACACGTCTTGATTGGACGTTGCGGGGGGTGAGCCGCTTTCCATTGCCCCGCCAAATTCATCGGCCGTTGGCCAGCCGGCCAGCCGGCGGAATCCTTGGGCACATGTCTGCTCTTTCATCAAAGATAATTCTTGTCATCCCATCAATCCCATCTCGCTTTTGCCCGCCGGTTTCGGTAGGCCGCCGGTTTCGGCCAAAACCCCATTCGCTGAAACCGGCAGCGGCCGATTCCGAGGTGGCACGGATGCCTGGCTTGGTCCTTTCTGTCTTCTCTGTGTCCTGCTTCTAAAAGCGCAACAAACGTTGCTCGAGGCAACTCGGATTTCTCCCATCAGACAAGTTTGCACCTGGCCGTTTGGCACAAGCTCCTTCGGGTCGCGATGCCTGTCGCATCGCCTGGCGAAGGGGATATGCTACAATGCGCTTGAGACGTTCTGACGTTTCAGATCTGCGCGCCGGGAAGGCAAGCACTGCCTAGTACATACCCAAAACCCATCAGAAGCCAACCTTCAACGAACCGCCAACCGAAAGCCCAAACCCCTGAGCCGTCCAAGAAACCGCTCTAGTGTACCTCAATTCTAAACTCCTTGGTGCTTTCCCTTGAAACGCTAGCACCGGTAAGTCGAGAAATCCGTGCGCTCGAATCCAGGAGGGGGAAGGCACCTTCCTGTGGGCGGATGGGCCCGCAGCCACAGCCGGAGGGTTCCAGCGGTACTTTGCTTGGCAGAAGGGACTTTCTGCTTTGAATTGTCCAACTCCACGGTTCTAAAGTTGCGTTTGGTTTTTGGCCCCTCCTTCCTTTTTTTAGTCGGGGGCTAGAGCATGTTGTGCCATGCCAACGTTTGCGAAGCTAAGATGGTGCACAATGGCTGTTGAAAGCCAACGACATTGCTCTTTGTGGGTAGTGAGGACATCAAATGTTCAAGAAACCTGCAAGCCCAACACCTGGGCGCGGTCGCTTTGCACAAGCTGCTGGTGGAGTTTCAATAACACTCCGCTTGGACAACTGGCCGCATTTTGTGTTCTTGATACGTGGCAAGCCTTTCATGCATGAGTTCTATGTGTTGTCTTCTGCTGCACTTGATGTTTTTCACGCCAGCTTGTGGAAAGCAGAAGGCCCACCAAACGATGTGTTTGGCATGCAGGCAGAATCAAAGGCTTCAGTGGAGAGGTTGATTGTTCCTACGTAGGGTTATGCCAGCGGAGGAATGGCTGTGAACTGCCTGTGGAGGGTTTGATCCATGCGTTTTCGGTCTGGGCCAGCCTCCCGAGGCGAAAGTTCACCGGCCAGTGGAAGGATGGCAAGCAGCACGGCGTCGGGGTGCGCCATATTCAGATTGCTCCGATGTTTGGTAATTTTTAACTCGGCAAATCCGGACACCGAACACTTCGTCCCCTTTCAACCAGGGAGTTACAGTCCTCTCAGTTGGTCTATGCCATCCGTGGTGCTCAAAAACGCCCAGTTGGTCTAGAATGCCATCTGTGGTGTGCTTAGAAGCCCCAGTTGTCTTTCACAGAGTTTTCTTCGGTGCGGAGATCTGTCAAGTGGAAGATGGGCATTTGGAGCACCGCCCACACCAATGTCCGGGGCAGACCTTGAGGAAGTCGATGTGTTGCAACAAAGAGCAACGCTTACATGGCCCTACCAGCTTATCAGCTGACAAATTCAAGGGTTTGTTTGAGAAGGACGTCAATTGGTTGGAGACCAGAACATTCTCCAAAGATGAAAGGCGCAATCCCTGACCTGGCACCGAGCGTCAGAAAATTGAACGCACTTCTGTTGTGCATCTCAGGCAACTTCTTGTGAAGTACATGTTTGTGGAGCGAAATTTGCTATCAAGAACCCTTTTCGGTTTGGTCTTTGTCCATTGTGGTCCCAAGGGAAAATGCGAATAGCCACGCCTTCCTTCGTTGCAAAGGGGTAGCTCTTAGCCTCCTGACGTTTGCTTGTGCCAGTTTCGTGCATCGAACTGTTTACATGCAGTTGGTAAGCCTCACGCATTCCCGCACCACAGCTTCAGGCTGCACTTTTCTTGTTTTTTGCCAACATGGTCTATGTGAGTTACTTGATCAGTGATGAGGAAGGTGTTTATTGGGTAGACCTGGCAATGCAGCTCGGCTTGCTTGCTCGGCCGATCCCATGCGCCAAAAGTCAGTACCGAGTTGCATTTTGCTGCCGTGATGTTTATCGGAGCCTTGCCCTAGAGGTCGTGCTTTGTGAGGGTTGCTGTTTGCGACTCACGTCGGTACATCAAAGCCTAAGACTCGAGGCCCTTTGGATGGGTTTCAGAGGAAGCCAAAACACACCAAGCATCTTTGCTGGACATCCCCATGTAAATGATCGCCTTTGCTTTCGCAGGTTCCATGCCCTGAGACACACCAAAGCTTTGCTTTCGGCAATGCATTCGGTTCCTTAGTCACAGGAGTTTGTTGCTCAATCCATGCTAGTCCTGGCGGATTTGTCTTGATTGCTGTCTGCTTTGTGTGAAGCAAAGGGAAATTGACATAATGGGTCAAAATTCACCCACCAGAACGCAGGTTTAGGTTCCATTTCCAAGGGTTCCATTTTGGGTACCGATTTTCGCCCCGGATTCAGAGTCCTCGTGAGAAGTGTTCTTTCCGGGCTGCGCCAGGTCTTCCGAACTGCCCACGGGGACCAGCGCACCGGGGAGTGGCGGGAGGCGGGTCCACCTGAAAATGGGCGTTGAAGTTGGAACTCTCAACTCTGGATGTCCTGAATTCCCTGTCAGAGGTTCTTTGAGTACAGGACCACAAGTGAACAATGTACGGAAATTCAGTTTTGCACTGTCCACAAAGGAGCCCTCAAGTTGAAGCAAGACCTAGGTTGGAGACATTGCCTAGGGACACAATTTACCCTGAGATCAACCGTGGGCCCTGTCACACACGTGAACCATCCATGACACCGCTCGAAGTACCACGAGGCCATCAGAATCAGCCCCATGTCCAGTCGTGCTCCGAACTGCGTGATTTCCTCTTTGTCTTTGTTCGCTGCCCTGTTTGTTTTCTTGAGACTATTCGTTGAGGGTTTGCATGGAAGGGAAGTCTAAGGGAGACGGGCGCCTTTTCGGGTTTCGAGACAAGCCTGCGTAAACTTGGGGGCTTCTTAGAAATACGAAGCCCCCACATGGAAAGTTTGAAAGCAAATAGCTGGAAAAACGCATCATGAGCAAGGAGCCCGGCATTGAGTACAAGTCATTGAGATCGGGCCATAGCTACCCATTGGGATTGTTGGTAAGCCGTGTTGGAAGTGTGGAAAGCGTGAATCCACACGCCACAATCCGCGTTTGCAGCTTCACCGCAACTCTTCCATTCTGTGTTCTTTGGTGAGGCATGTTGTAAACGATGCATATCATCATTCACAGATAGAAATCTGACAACAACGACATGAAACTAGCACTTTGTTTGCTCCCAAAAGTGGTGAACAGAGTATCTACAATGAGCCAAGTTTTCAGCCCAGTGCTTACCCATCATCGCACCAGGGCGTGCGCGTGTGCTGGGTGGACGAGGCAGGTAGTGGCACGGCACGCGTTGTTGGGCGTGTTCGGGGATTGGCAAGCAAGCCCCTTCGGAGGGGAGGGGGGGGGGGGGGGGGGGGGAAATGTAGAAAAGGCAGATTTCAGGTGGTAGGGGGTAGATGGTTGCCTATTCTGTTTTTTTTATTTCACAATTCAACACGTGTTCTATCTCATTCGTTTTTTCAAGGCTGATTTTGGGGGCAAGAAATAACGATATGAATGTGGTAACGAATTGATGATTTGGTCCCCTGTTTCGTTCCAGATTTCAACTTTTAGTTTTATTGATTGAAAGAGGTTAGGACTTTCTGTGGTTTCATAGGTTGGCTTTTGGGCGGTGCATTTGTTTATTCGCTCGTCGCCCTTGGTTCGCCCACTTCGACTTCATCCACATCTTCTCCGTTAGCCGGGACGCCCAGGACTTCTGAGTTTGTCAAGAATGCTTGCCAAAGAACAAGGTCTCTGGACACTTGTACATCCGGCTTTGGGTCCTATGGCCTTCGGACCTGACCTGTGGCTTGTGGGATAGGCAACCTTTATACCGCGTGGCATACTGAGGCTCCAAGGAATGGGGTTTCAATCTTAAGTTGCTCAACTCCTAACAATTTAGCAACTTCGTTTTCGTGCGCTAAGACAACTCTTTTAACGCGTTTAGTTGCAACTTCACACAATTAGGCAGCAAGCCATGGCAACGGCTGGCGAGTGGCCAGTGGTGTGTCCAAGAGGCGGCGGTCCGATGTGGAGCGACAAGAGCTCGCTTCCAGGACGCCAGTCTGGAGATGACTACGAAAGATACATCAGAGAGCTACTGACTGGCTCACGCGGCGATCAAGCCGACAAGCGCAAGGCACAGGCAGAGCTGACTGAAACTCAGCGTGAAGCGCTGAATGAGTTGAAGTCTAAAGCAATTGAGAATGCCCGCAGACATACTGGGCAAGAGCTCTGGAAGCGATTGTACGGGAACAATCAGGGCAATGACCGACAAACCGGCTGCGCATCAGTGGACATCGTGATGGAACAGGACAAGGATTTGTTACAATGTCTGGGCGCAGGTGCGGAGATGTTGTTTGGAGTGGCAACTCTCCCAGCTGGCACGGTTTTGGAAGTGACAGTCCATGGAGCGTTGTTCTATGTGAGGTGCTTTCAGCTTGAAAAGTTTCTGACGATCTGCGCATCACAGAACTCAATGGCAATGCCACCAGCCGCCGCGCTTGCGGTCAACCGGAAACCAATTGAGTGCCGCGAGGAGTGGATGGAGGCCATCAAACAGTTCCCCAAACTTCTGGCCCTGGCAGATCAGGGCAACCTCAGGATTGCCTATTGTCCACATTCGGTTCACCATGCCGAGTACCGGCAAGCGATTGCCGAGAAGGACCAAACCATTGCCAGGGCTAGGATGGCGATTGCCATTTTTACCCTTGTGTTTGCTTGGCAGGTTCTGCAGAAGCTGTTTCCCAACACCGCGAAAGGCTCGGAACTTTGAACTTGCTGTACGGCTCATGGTCTCATCCAGGAGATGAGAGCCAGGAGACATCATCACTGGCCCAACAAGTTGCGGAGATCTATCTTTCGGACCCCAGTTGTTTTAGCACGGCTGTATTCAGTGCATGGAGGGGGTGCCCAAATCACATCAATCTCACCCACATCAAACTGTTTATAGTTCCATTCCAAGATATCAGTGTTGATGTGAGCATTTTTTCAAATCCAAGGAAATCACGCTGTAGCCCCAAATCACGAGCGACCCTACCAACACTGCCTGTGCCACTAAATAATTCTATTAAGTTCATATTATTAGAATTACTTGAATATTTATTTTATGCAATAGTGCCCATACGGGATTGAACTGAAAGCATCAACGTAGTAGCGTTTGCTTTCATAGTTTGATAAACTCTGTTTGACTTGAGACATTGAATAAATCTGATGTGTTTTGCTCCTGATGAAGTTGTAGGTGATTTCATGCTTTTTGTTTTGATGCAGTGCTTCGTGGTAGTTCTGATAGGTCAGTTCCTTCTTCACCTTGTGCTTGACGACACCCTTTGATTTCTTGTGTTCTTCATCCTCGCCGTGGATTGTGAAAGCATAGGATTTAGGCTTCAACCCGATGAATCTAGTACTGATTTTTCCGTTGACTTCATCTTTGAACATTCCTAAGACCTTCTTATTTGTCGTGTCGTGACACGGATGTTCAACAGGATAATCGCTAAAATCCATATGTTGCTTGATACCTTGAAGATCCTTGTAGACATCATCAGTCATTGTTTGAATTACATAACTGTCAGTATCGGTATATATCAATTTGATATTTTCGTTGTATTTCTTTTTCAACACACCATAGTAAAACTCATACATATGTGATTTACTTAAATCAAGAATGGTCATTCCTAAAAATATAGGTTTGTCTAACTTCAACACTGATTTTGTTTTCTCCACTCCTACCAGATTTTCATTAATGATAAATCTATTTTTGAATGTTGGATTATTCACACATTTTTCATACCTAACATCGTCATCTACCAGTTCAAAATCCATATGTTTTCATCCTCCATAGTTTTTCCATACACCGCGTTATTCATTAATTTGAATAAATCTTTCTCAAAATCACTTTTTGCTTCCTTCCTCTTACCAGTGTTAAAGTCAATCCACGGTTTCAACCATGCCCTCTGTTGAAATTTTATTATCCTATGAACCTTGGTGAGTTTCATACCCATTTTTAGATAATACTGTAAAGTCTTGATATGAACCACATATTTTCTTTATCTTTCAAATCTAGTATTAACTTGCTGGTTTTCTCGTCCTTCGGTTCTTTGTTTCCATAGTAGATTTTGAAGATTTCTTTTTGATAGTCTAGCAACATATTAGCATTGACTTTCATTATTTCCGGTGCTAGTGGATAGTCCGAATGGTAGTCGTGTAGTGTTTCTGGATATTCCAAATCTACTTCAAGGATGAAACCATACTCATCTGTTTCATCCCACTTTTCAATGTTAGGTGTTTTCTTTGCCCATTTGATGTTGTTTAAAGGCAATTTTTGAGACATCGCCAGACCATACAGATTGTTAGCATCTAAGTAATTGATATAACTTGACGGCTTGTTTTCATCGAAGGCTTCATCCATATACTTATTGTTTGCCTCAGCCAGTTTATGACTGACCTGACACATACCTCCTCTCATTCCCTTTTCAACCATCTCATACATTTCTTTATCGTGCAACTGCTCAATTTCAACATCAGTTTTCAACAACATAGCTTCCCAAGCGAAGTTAGGAAGCGTATAATAGTGTGCGGGGTCCAAACCGTAGTATTCCATACATAAGTCTCTAAAGTTTTCAAACACATCCGTCAATAATAAAACCTCAAATACAAATCGTGATATTGTCCTAATGTTCTAATACCGAAGTGTTTACAAACCTTTTTTGCCCTTTCATAATCTTTGTCATTGACATGTTCCTCACTTAATTTACTGTAGAACGCTTCTTTTGGCGGTAAGTTTCTTTCAGTAAATCTGTCAAAACTATCAAAATAGTCATAAGGATAAATCCCCTTCTCAGCCAACAAGTCCAAATCTTCATCGGTTTTAACATATGGATTTCTAACACTGTATCTAAAATTGTTCTTCCAGTTCTCACGCCTTTTGTCATCTTCATACTTACTCAACTTTACCAACGAAGACGATACGAAGCAAAACTGTCCTTGACACAAAGGTTTTTAAAACCAAAGGTTATGAACTTACTTCTCGCTGTTCTGTGCGATGCAATCGATTTTAGCATTCTTGCTCAGTTCGTGTGCCTTGTTGATGAATAAGTGAGCGTCATAGTTTTTCAGGTTGTGAAGAAAGACAGGAATTTTGTAATATCTCATACTAAAAGCAAGATTACAATCATCATGAGCACAACCTCTATGTTTACCAGTAAAATGGCAATGGTCTCTAACTTTTTTATCCCCTTCCTGAAAGCCCTTTCCACAAACGAAACACTTAGTAGCAGTGTCAAAATCTGTTTTATCGTCCTCAGTCATGATTATCTCTTTCACTTCCTTCATTTCCTTTATTACATCATCTCTGACTTCATTCATTCATTTTCTCAACGAGCTTATCCATACAATCTTCGCCTCTGTATAAATAGGGCTCACTGCTTCCAGTGATGGCATTGACTACATTGATCATAAAACCACAAGGTCGATGATTTTGATATGATGTGGTTGTCGCTCTTGTCGATTTGCTTTTAACATCAATGGGTACTGTTAGACATTCAAAGTCTGCATATATGACATAAGGCGCTTTCAGTTTGTTAAATGGTTCTTAAATTCAATGGTAGCTCCTACCTCTGGCATTTCTATTTGTTGTCCTTCAACCGCTAGACAACCCTGTTCTTCGTGTTGTTTTAATAACTCTTCTGACTTGAAACCGTGTGAGCACGTCCTACAGTGATACTTTGGTCTGCCTGTTTTGTTGGTTTGCCTTCCCATCAACGTATTATAGTTCTTGATATAAACATAGTGCGAGTTGCCATTGTCTCCAGTCAACTTTATTAAATCAATCTTTTGCTGTGCTTGGGAGTTGTTGCTTCTTTTGTATAATAAAATTGTTTTACTATTGGTATCAGGATTGATGTAATAAACATTGACCCATATGTGTTTGTTCTGTTCTTCAAATTGTTCAATCTCATCACTGCCTACAGGAAAGTTTAGAGTGTCCCATTTAATATACTTGTCAGCAACATACTTTTTATAATGATACATGTCGCAGGGATGGTCTTTTTTGTATAGCTCATAAAAACCACATTGAACAGAATATTTGAAACACAACTCATCATTGTTTTTAATATTGATACAAGCCCTTTTGTTTGCCACCCAGTCGGGCAATGGAATATAAGAAGAGCCACGGGTAGGATTGTACCTGTCATAACTTATCACCAGACTTTGAACTTGAAGGTCAACAAGACCTGATTGAGTGAGCTCGGCTATCTCAATTTGAACCTCTATGTCTTGGGCTATGT